GCATGGTTACTTTTTTGCGGGTTGTTTTTTTGTTTCTTTATTGTCATTTTTTTGGTTGGATGGTGGTTTAAAAGCAAATATTTTGTGTGTGTGTGTGTGTGTGTGTGTGTGTGTGTGTGTGTGTGTGTGTGTGTGTGTGTGTGTGTGTGTGTGTTTTTTTAATTGAAGGTTGTGGGTTGTTTATTCATGGGCTGGTTCATTTTGTGTTGTTTTTTTCAGGTTAGTAGGTTGTTTTGGGGGGTGAGTTAATTGGTGTTTTTCTAGCTTGTTGGCTGCTGCCTTTTGACTGTCTGGTTCCTTTTGACTGGTTTGATGGTTGTTTTGGTTTGTTGATTGATGCAGTTGGTTTTTTTGGTTGTTGTTTTGGTTGGTGGGTCAGGATGTTGGTTGTTTGTTAAGTTGGTCCGTTGATTTTTGGCTGGTTCATTTGGTGCTGTTTTTGGCAGGCTCTTGTCTTGTTGTTGGTGAGTTCTTTTTTTTTTTTTTTTTGGGGGGGGGGGTTGGTTGGTTGTTATTTTTGCTGGTATGTACATTGTTGGTTGGTTGTTGTTTTGTTTTTGTTTAGTTTTTTTAGCAGTGTTTTATGGTGTTTTTTTTAGGGGGGCTCTTGATTGCTTTTTCAATGATTGGTGGGTTGTTCATTGGCTAATCGGCTGATTCTTTTTTGGCTATAGTTAGATGCGATTGATTTTTTTTTTTCTATTGGTTGGTGCGAAGATTACCTTGGTGTCCAATCGTTATACTCATGCTCGAAATGACCAGAGGAGTGGAGTTTGAGTCATATAAAGAGTCGCATTATTGTTTCACTACTTGCGACCATGTGGCGAGTTTCAGCGTCGTGTTAATGTGTCTGATGGGCCAGACTGATGATTACACGTTTATTGTTGCATCTTGATGTTATGAAGGGCAAAGCCATAAATGTTGTTACCTTCATAAGCCTTTATTAAATAAAGCCTTCACAAAGGCTACGTGTGCGGGCTTGAGGTCAAAACCTGGCGAGATGGTGGAATATGTGTCTTGTCATTAGGGACAGACAAAAAAAAAAAAAAACAAAAGAAAAGAAAAAATAAACCTCCCATCCCTCTAAGACGCTCCCGGCTGCCCCAGTATCCCCCCCGGCTCAGTTCCCGTGCCGACAGCTAAAATTCAATTATGGCCGACTGTGCGATAATCCCAGCATGCTGATTGGTCACCGCTGCCCTCTATTAAACCAACACAGCAGGGAGGAGGACGGGGAGTTACGTGGAAAGAGTAAGACCGGGAGAAGGCGGACAAAGGGAGGAGTAAATTAAAACATATAGCCCGCTTGTGTGATCCCTCAAAGCCCCTGCGATCCTTCAGGCTCAAGTGAAAACAAACAAGCTGGCCCTTAAAAGTCCGCTCCGTAATCCCCCATGTAATCACCGGGGCGGCCTCCAGCAGCACACACACGCGCGCGCACACACACACACACACACACACACACACACACACACGGAAGCCAAAAGACACATACGTGCACACGTGTGTTTTCCATTCAACGACATTAGCCAAATTCCAACATCAGAGCACTAGAGAGGATGTTGGAGCGGAAAATTGGGCAAAGATTGTCTCCATCTGCACTGTTTACAAAATGTACAAAGATGACAAATTCTTCAAACGGGAACAAATGGGGAGGATTTACGACAAGCAAGAATGGAAACTGGAGTGATATTATCTTAAATGCGAGCGCCAATAACTAATACTACCACCACTGCTTGTTTTTCTTGGACTGTTGATCTCGACGAGATAGAGCCCAAAAAGCAGCAGATTCAAAACGCAACGCTTTCCGAACTTCCACTCACGGGTTTTAACTATAAAACAAAAATGTCTCACCTTGCTTTCCAACATTCTTACATACAGTGCATATGCATGCTCTCTACATCATATGCTTACATTTTTAAAAATATATTTTTTATTTTTTTTATATTTTTCATTCCATTACTATAAATTATTTTCCATCTGTTTTTATGGTTGCAAATTATTTCAAGACATTTCCAATGGGTGAAGTGTGTCTGTGGGCGTGTCCGCTGAATGCATTAAAACCAAGAAAGGCTCAAATGTCATCTGTCAATCAATTAAAAGAACTCTGAAGGGGGGGGGGGGGATGAATGCCGTCTCATCTGGGATCTGTGTTAAACCTACACATCGCCAATTGTTTGAAAATAATATTCGCTTAAAGCCTCTGGTGACTGGAATATATTCCACTGTGTCGTCGCAGTGCTTTCCATGCCGCAACGAAGCACTCTAAAGTCTCAAAGGGAAGTCTCAAAAGCGCCTTATGGTGATAATGACTCATTCATGGTTCAAATTTAGTGGCGATTGGGATGATTCCATCGAAGGAGTAGTTCAAGTCCAAACTCTGAATATGACCCAAATCCTTGAAAAACAGCTCTTTCAAACCAAAGGGAGCAATAGTTCTTCTTTTATTTGTTTTTTTGTTTTTTTTGCATCCTGCATGCTGGATTTCATGTCAATAACACACTGGTGCCGGTAGCGAATAATTTATAAGCCTCTTGGGGGCACGTTGACATGTTGCACTGACACAAACATGTGGCAAGTGACTTATGTGAAGGGATACGTGCACTTTTGCAGGCTAATTAGCCAACAAATGGTGTTGCTGGAGAAGAGGCAAGATGTTTCTGATCAATTTACAGCAAGATTGTGAAATATGCGCGGCGGCAGCGAGATATGTTGGAAATGTTTGGTGACGAGCCAGACTGTCAGTGCAGACAAAAAATATATATATTATTTTTTTCCGAGATCTAAATGGCTCTGTCTATCTGATTTTTCGTTCAGTTTATATGTACATATATATTATATTATCAGCAGGTCACACACATTATAGTAGCACCTCGCCTCAAGTTTAATTTGTGGACGTGTTCATAACTCCAAACATGTATCATAAATCGTCTTCCCCAATTGAAATGCCATTCATCCATTCAAGCTACATACAAAAAAAAACCCAACAACATAGAATGTATGCAATCTCTTTTTCCATGGCAAAAAATAATTTCCTACAGGATTATGCTTTAGAAAAGCATTCAGAAAGTATACCATTAAATAAAATTCAACAGTCTGCTTGATTTCATGCTTCAATTTGATCGTATAATACAAATGTACATGACACACAAAGAGTTCCATAATGAAGCAACTGCAGTAATATTAGCCCGTTTTGGCAGAGAATAAATAATATATGCCGGTGAGTATTGCTGCATTGTCTGTCTATGTGTGTTGCTGCACCATTTGTTTTCAGGTAGCCAGGTGTGTGTGACGCAGGATGCAAGCGATTTTGGTTTGAAACGACCACTTGCTATGTATTTGTGATAATGTAACACATCAGCCAACAACACTGAGTTAAAAACAATTTCATGTATGGGGTACGTTTGGCTGTAGCAAAAATCAACACTCTAAACAGGAAGTTAGTGTGACAAGACTAAAGTGAAGCGGTTTGGAATTCGCTTGCAATCTCACACTCTTGGAAAAAATGGCTGCCGTTGGTGAAAAGAGTCCCCGTGATTATATTTGACAACATGCCCTTTATTTTAATCTAATTATGTAATTCGGCCTCCGAACTAATAAAGTCCCGCTGAATGTCATTGTGGCAATGTATCCTCCCGCATTTAGTATCACTGTCTCGATGATGATTACAACACAAGTGTTGCCGCTCGATATGTAAAAAGTCAAAGTCTTATAAATAAATTACATTCTTCAAGTTTTAGCACACCAGTGAGCTGCAGAATAAATAGAGCAGAACTTTAAAAAAAAAAACATTCTGCATGTTAAATATGGTTGATTTTTGTTCTTGTTTTTTTAAATGGGAAGTCATCAAACTTCACTGCCATGCTCCGCCCACATGCAGTGACACACACACACAAAACGTTTTTGCAAATTAGCATCATCCATCTGTGTTGTACATATGGGACAAATTTGATAACCAGCAGACAAAATTTTAGAACTTAGAATTTAGTCTTTGAATAACATCTGGAAATGAACATCATCATTCTAAAATGTCCCGATTCTAACCAAAATAGTACTTTTCCTGGATATTGTGCAGCACGCCTTCTTGCAACTTTTTGTGCATTTACACCAGATGCTCAAATTTCTTGTTTCTAAGTGAAAGTGGCTTTGAGGGTTCCATCCATTATCTGAACCACTTATCCTCACGGGGGTCACAGGCGCCGCTGGAGCCTATCCCAGCTGTCATCGGGCAGTAGGCGAGGGGGACACCCTTTGAACTGGTTGTCAGCCAATCGCAGCGCACACAAACAACCATTCACACTAGTTCCAATAACCTGCCATGCATTTTATGCATGTTTTTTGGTTTTGGTGTTTATTTTTAGGGGGGGGGGGGATGAAAACAGATTACCCGGAGAAAAGCCACGCAGGCACGGGGAGAACATACAGACTCCACAGCCGGGAGTCGAACCCTGGAACTCTGCACCGCGAGGCGGACTTACTGTTTACTTTTGAACCGAATGTCAAATGGAAGTATTTGTCGTACGAGAAATAGTCCAAGAAGGGCAGCCAAAGAGTGTCATGTGCCCCCCACCCTTTGTAACTCTCTTCATTGCCTGGAGACATTTGAAATTGTCAGCCTATCGCCTTCCTTGGACAGCAGGGTATCCTGCTGCGGCCCCGCCCACTCTGCCACGATTGGCTCCATGCTCGGGACCA